CTCAAGCCCTCAACTTTGCCTTCAAGGATAAGTATAAGCAGGTGTTCTTAGGAGGAGTAGACAAGCACACTCAATTCTGGAGGTATTTTGCTGGTAACTTGGCTTCTGGTGGTGCAGCTGGAGCCACTTCCCTCTGCTTTGTCTACCCCTTGGATTTTGCAAGAACCCGTTTGGCTGCTGATGTCGGAAAAGCTGGTGCAGACAGAGAATTCTCTGGTCTGGGGGACTGTCTAGTCAAAATCACCAAGTCTGATGGTCTTCGTGGCTTGTACCAAGGGTTCAATGTCTCTGTCCAGGGTATCATCATCTATAGAGCGGCCTACTTTGGAATCTATGATACAGCAAAAGGTAAACTTTAGAAGGGAGCTGATAATAAACCTCTCTGTAGAATGTGTCTTTCTGCTGCCTGCTTTTCTATATGTCTGTCTTCAACCATTATGTCTGTTCTTGTGCCTCACTGTTCGTGTGAGGGGGAAGGTAGAAGTAGTGTCAGTGATGCTGCATTGCTGGCTGCAAAATTTTGGTATATGTGACTGGCAGCAGGCTATTTCCTAATGGTTTTGTTTTATTCTAATTCTCAAAAGGGGGGTCTAATTATAGTAATGTATTTTAGTAATCATTCACAATTTTATAACATTTCTTTATAAGTGCATTCTTATAGTTATATTAGACTAATTGAAGCTTAAAGCAGAATATGTTTGAGCAGTTTTACCTAAACACTTCCTGATCTTGATGCTAGGGCATAGTGTCACTAATTCAAACTTGCTGTTTAATACAGAAATCACACAATGTGATTGTCTTTTAGTGATATGCTTTTGGCAAGAGAACAAACTACATCCTCTCTAGTTAATTTGTTATTTGAATATGCATATGTTGATTGCTGGGGGGGGAGAACATGTGACTAGTTTTGAGAGGTTTATATCATTTCAGTTTGTCTGAAATAGTCTTGTTACATAAATTGTTTTGTTACAGCTTCAGACTATAGCTTTGCAGTGTTTTGTCACAATTTTAAAGTCGCTGTCATTCACTCGGTGAGTGTGCTGGAGGAATTGGGGGCGGAAGATAAACTCATTAGCCTCTTTCTCGCAGGCATGCTCCCTGATCCCAGAAATACCCACATTGTTATCAGCTGGATGATCGCACAGACAGTGACCGCCGTGGCTGGTGTGGTCTCCTACCCTTTCGACACAGTGCGGCGTAGGATGATGATGCAGTCGGGACGCAAAGGAGGTAGGCTGCTAATTTGTGCTGTTCTTAAGCAGCATTAACAAGATCTTCAGACATCTCCTGTCCTCCCTCAGCACTTACGCTCATCATTAAGGTTGTTGGGCTCTACTGTGTGGGCAACCCCAGTGGAGCCCATGGCTTGTGATATGGCACAGTGCTTGAGAGTACTTGTGGTCAGCACTTTTCTTTATAGAGCATGAAACATGGACTAGGGGAAAAGAATTGTCTGTTGGTAGTAACATAGGTGCTGGCAATTAGGTAACAGTGTAATTGCCCAAAGAAATCTTAGGTAGCGTTCGTGTTGTATGACTTTAATTTGTAATAAGTAGGCAAGAGGATTGGAAGCTTTTCTCTCGCCAGAGTGCCTTGTTCAACAATCTTAAATATGGCTTGGCATGCCACAGGTAACTGGTAAAGTGAAATGGGGCTGTTAATAGAAGTATTTCAGATATACAAGTAAAATTGTTCTTTTCTCCTTTTCTACAGCTGATATTATGTACTCTGGAACAATTGACTGCTGGCGGAAGATTGCAAGGGATGAGGGAGGAAAAGCCTTCTTCAAGGGTGCATGGTCCAATGTTCTCAGAGGCATGGGGGGAGCTTTTGTCCTTGTGCTGTACGATGAATTCAAGAAAGTCATTTAAAAATAGCCTGACTAGGATTGGAAATCAAGTTGAGCAGATCATGTAGAATAACTACCATTATGGACCATTGACCTTCAAGAAATTCCTGTGAGTCTTATTTATCGGAGCCAGATATTTGTAGATGGGACTAGAAACTGGCATAAGAGACTGATCCATGGCCTGCATGGGGACACTGTGATTGGCAATTCAGCACAGTGATTTTTTTTTTTCTCCTCCCCTCTCCCAGCAATGAAAAATTTGTGACATTGGTTATGGGTCCAAAGCAGCTGGGTCCAATTCAGGCAGAAAATTGCCTGTGGATCAGTCCCCCAGTTTCAAGTCCCATCTTCTAGGACCATAAAATTGTATTTGAAAGTACTTGCTAACAAATCATGTCTTTTCCACTTGTACTGAAGCACTATGTACCATTTTGCACAGCTGAACATCTAGCGATTATATTCTTAAATTGGGGCATTCTGCTGTAAAACAATAAACATACTTACTCTGTCTGTGTTGAAATTATTACATCTAAGCTTGAGAAAGCCTCTTCTAGTTGAAAATTTGTTTCAGATAATGGATTCTGATACACCTACACTGCACTACAGCAGAATAAGCTTGGATTTTTTTATTGAATGTGAGATCCTTATGGCAGGGGGAAGCATGGGTTGTAATAGAAACCACTCCTTTGTGCCTGATAGTTCATGGTAGAATGCTGCAAGTGGCTTTTTGCATGATTCTTACTCTGATTTGCAATGTGTCACGTAATGTAAAATGAGGGTGTTTTTTTATTTTTTTTTTAATTTTTTTTTTTTACTGTAGCACTAGAAGGGTAACCCAAACTCCCAAGGGTAGTCGAAAAAAGTTACAATGTTGTTGCCCTTGGTAAAACAGCATAAAGTGAAATGCTAAAATTTTTTAAAAGAGAAAGAGGCAACACAGCATTCATTCAAAAACCTTGTAAAATGCCTTCAACTCCTAAGCAATCTATCTCTCTTGTACTGTTGCTGCTATCTGGAAATGCTGATTTTGCCCTTCAGGATCCTATTTGGATTGATCTGTAGCAGCAATGAGTACTGTCATGGAAGATGAATTTAAACTGGAAGTTCATTCCAAAAGGTGAAGTTGGCTGAGGGGATGAGATGAAGAATATGTATGGTTCTGCTAGCTGTAAAATGTGGATAAAAATAGTCAGCCTTCAGTTTTCACTCATTATTTGCTAAAATCTAGTGTGAAGACTAAAGGTGGTCTGAACGGTTTCTTATACTGCTATCCTGGGATATAGTAATACCTATCTGCTCTTCTCTATGTATATAATCTTCCTTTTTTTGTACTTTATAATATACAAAGACATGTTTCCTTAAGCAGCTAGGTCAGGGGACCAGTATAGGAAAACAAGGTGTTCATCTTCCAGTCATGTTAAAAAAAAGCCTCCCCATCTGGGTATAGATGGGGGGGAAAAAATGCATAACCGTTGCTGTGGCTAACAGAGCTGTCCAAGGGTTTTGTGTGCCTTCTGAGGTTGCTATTCAAGATGAGGTATTTAAATTAACTACTCTTTGCTTTGGCTGATGATTACCTTCTCTCTGACATATGTTTCTTTCACTATTGCACAAGCACTGCTTTCGGCATCCTTATGAATGTAAGTATGTAGCTACATTGTATACAGGCTAATAGGAAACTTTATGTACCTGCTGCAAAGTGTTTTAATCTTGTTCAATGACGTGGTGTGGGTAGGTCACTTGCTACTGACCTTGCCCATCAAACTGTTGTTTCAGTTGTAATTATGCTGATTTTGGGGGCAAGGGTTGTATCTGTACAAATGTCACTTGGTTTTGTTTTCTGTGTATGAAAGGGGGGAATTTCAAGCTATTTCCTGTGGCTTGAAAGGTGGAAATAAGGTCAGAGTACCTTGTGTAACCTTTCTGGGCATGTTGTGGCTCCAGCTTTGTGAGAAGGAACTGAACTTGGCAATGACATGAACAGCACCTCAAAGCAGGGAGGGTGTGAGATTTTTCATGCCCCTCTTAATGCTCTCCAGAATTAGCTTTTAAGCAGAAGAATTAAGAAATCAATGTAAATGTGGGTGGTTTAAGTGGACCTGCCTTTTTTTTTTCCTTTTTTTTAAACCTCTGCTGTACATTTCAGCATGTACTACTTGGTGTTCTTCATTTTTCAAGGATATGACTTCCCTTAGTCATGCAGCAGCAATTTTCAATGTGGTCATGCAGTGTGGGAACACGAGGCAAACAATAAATGAGACTTTTAAAAAAAAGCTTGTGTTTCCTGCCTTACTGAAGTGATTATTTGGTGAAATGTATTTATTTTGAACAAGTTACGAGGAAAAAAAGATTGGATTTTCTTTACATAAAAACTGTACAGTTTTAAAGGAATAAAGTACATTGGTGTGAAGGATCTTTAAACATAAAAAAAATCAGTTGCTAAAGCTGATTTAAAATTTTATTTTACAATACTGGCAAATGTGTCATATTGGATTTATTGAAGACTTTCAAATATGATTTATGTTAATTAAGTCAATATTGCAGAAGTTCACATTTGCACTGAAATAGTGGGATCTTGAAATGGTTCTTTGCAACTTAATATCTACTTGTTTGGGGCATTTTTTATTATTTTCTGTTTCAGTTTTACATCAAGGGACAAAAACTTTGGAATGTATTGATGGAACATTTTGGTATTGCTGATCAAGCAAAGTTGAAGGGCAGTTTTGAAAGCAGGTTTTGAATATTCAGTAAAATACCATAATGGATATAGAAGAATGATAAGCTGTGGAAATAACTAATGGCTCATTCTTGATAGTTTCTTCTTTCATACCACAATAAAAACAGGAAATCCTAAGTTTTAGCTGTTTTCTGAATGAGGTGCCTTGTGTAGCATATTTGAAGAAAATCTCAGGTTTGAGCAGGCTTGATGGTAATGTTTCCGGATATGCTTAGCTGCCAGAGGTGTTTTTAAACAAAGGGAAAAGAGTCAAAATTGTTGGTTCCTTTTAAACATTTTTTTAATGGAAGAGTTTTATAAATTCATTTCCAGACTGGACTGTGAGGAACACACAGTGTTCCTAAAGTGTCAGGAAGATGTGTGATTTTTGCTTAGCTGAGGAATAAATGTGCTTTGCTTTTTCTTTTCAGAAGGTTAAATCATTTCTTCAACCACAATTATGTCTTCATTGTAAGCTTTTTTGGGTGCATTTATATATTCTTTCTAAGGAGAGAGAAAAATGAATTGGTTTTTATCATGTAATATGCTGCAGATTTAGAGTCTGTGACCTTGAGAGGCCATTTAGAAGAAATGCTAGGTGTCCTAGTACCCTAGTCCTATTTAGATATGTAAGAAATGCTTGAAAAAACAGTGGATTTGCATAAACTAGTGACACAAATCACTGGGACATTTGAAGAAAATGCCATGTCTGCGTGCACGCTCAAGGAGTTCTGCAGTTCTTGGAATATACTTAATATAGGAGATGAAGCGAAAGTGTCAGACTTTACTCCTATTTCCCAAGGTGAAAACAGTTGGAAGGGAAAAGACCACAAAACAAAAGCAGATTGCAAAAATAAAGTAAGGGATTAAAGGAACAGAGGCATCGATGAACTGAGTAAATTGACTAATATTCATAGCAAATAATATTTAAAAAGCTTTTAGCAAGCATGTTAAGGATATAAATACAGACTGAGTGTAGAGAAAGCTTTGAGATACAAATAAGCTTTTTGATTATTTAAGGAAGAGCATTATTGTAGATGAGAGGAAAAATAGTGGAAAATTCCAGAAGATTATCATAGTAGCAACAAAATTGGGGAAGTGCAAGCTTCAAAAAGTTGCAGTTGGCAGAAGAATTAAGAGTTTAGAAATGGGTTGTAAATATATTTGCAGTAGGTGGAAGCCTCTAGCAGAAAGCGAGCTTAAAAGAGGCAATGGAGAGGACAGAAATCCTTGTGCTGTTAGCTACACAAATTGTGTTTGAGTTGCCAGTCTGTGTGTACCAAACTGAGGAGAGGTCACTGCGCGCTGGCCATGCTATTGGGCAGTTGCTGACTGCAAGGAAGCGCTCATGTCGCTTCATGAAATTATATGCATATAAAGAAAGCCTCCTACTTTGGTAAACAAATGCAATCTGGAGGGTCTGCAATTTTGGGGCTGCTTACGACTTTACTAGCAGTTGCTGGTTAATAACTTGGTAGGCTGACACGTTGCTGTAGCTCTGGCTGACTGTCAGGAGGTGAGATACCAAATATTACTTCAAAAGGGTGCATGAGAACTCATCCAAATCATATTGCTGCCTCCTTTTTAGTAAAACCAAAGATGGTACATGTATGAGGACAATTTTTTGTTATAGAGCCAACAGGAGAGTTTTAATCAGTAATAGTAGCTTTGAGGATTCTGTGTAATTGATTGAAGGAAAAGCTCTTAGTGTCGCTTTTTAAAGTCTCCTTGAAGAGTTTTGTGGCCACTGGAATATAGCAGGCAATAAAAATTAGCATGATGTGTTTAATGTTAGAAAAGATTATTATTTTTTTTGCTTTAACCATCTAATACAAATCATTCTCCTGCTCTGCAGAGACAATGCAAACCATTTTTCAGCACAAGTCTTCAAATGGACCAATTAAAAGGAGAATTAGAAAATGAATCATCTGAAGTCTAGGTATCATAATAGATGAAGCAAGATTGAACGAATTAGAGTTTTTGTGATAGAGTATGTAAGACACTGTAAATGAAAAAGGAATAAGGAGAAGTAATAATGGTTATATACTTAGGGGGAAAAAAAGCTTTAAAAGTAAAGATAACTAAGCATTAGACCACTTATTAAAGAACAGATATCAGTCTTTAAGAGCATTGCAGATAGTGAAGCTGAACAAAGCATCTAAAAGCCGCCAAGTTTATTTCCAGGCCTGTCTTCCACGTTTCAGGGTAAACACAAACAAACAAAATCTTAATTGTATTATCAATATTAACAAATGTTAGTGGTAAATGTTTCTTCACTTTAGTTTTTTTTTTTTTTTTTCCAAAATAGAAATGACAAGCTAGTGATATTGCTAATTTGTGCGTACCAATCTTAGTTAAAATGATTACTCTGTCCTTAATACATGCAAATGTGTGCAGGATAATCACTAGTCTCAGCACTGTCATGAAAACATTTCTGGTTTCAAACCAACATTTCAACGAACATACATGACAAACTTTTAAGAACAAAATGATCATGTGTTTGTATGCTAATTCTTCTAGCACAGTGGGTTCTAGTTAACAAATATGGCTACATTGAAATTAAAAAGAGGTACCTGCATATCTTCATCAGTTAGTACATTGAATTTATCTCTTGGTTGTGGAATGGGAGAACATATTCTTTTGAAGTTGCAGTATCTTTTGGTACAAAACAGAATTTTGAATAAATTAGAATATTGGAAATGCAAAATGCAGAAATGTCTGTTCTTTAAGGATGTTTCTTTCAAGAATAAAAATGTGTACTGTTTGCCTCACTTTGAGGAGAAAGAAAATATCTCAAATAAAGACTGGTACATAACTATTCTTCTGCTTATAACTTGGGTAGTTACACTTCTGTGATTACAGTCACAATAAATGACGTAGTTACAGTAAATCACACAAAATACATCACTTCTACCCCAAGTGAGAAGTTTTATTATAATAAACATATCTCCCCCAATTCTGTATTGTTTCACACTATGTGAAGCTAATGACTAAAAAACCATGTGATATTTAAATGCTTAAAAGTAAAATAAAACCAATTGCTTTGTTTTTGTAAGATATGTCTTGAATCACTTATTAACTTTAATATCCTTTCCCCCTGTTTCTCTGTAGCAATTTTACATGCTCAAAGTCAGCCAAAACAATACTGGTAATTATAATTCATGATGATGATAATAACTGGGTACTTCTAGTTTTTGAAGGTATGGAGAATGGTTGTGTGTCATAGAAATAGCTGCCGTTCTAAGGCTGATTTACCTTTTGCAAAGAAAGAATTGGAGCAATGTCACAGCCATTATTCCAAGTGTTATCAGTATTAAAATCACAAAAATAAAATCATCTTTCTTTCGACCTGAAACATCCAAGAGAGAAAATCATAGCATATTAAAAATTGACTTCCATGGTTAGTAGTAATTAATACTGATTTCATATAACTTCTTGAATAATCTTAAGAACTTTGATTTGGCATCTTGCAGAACCTTGACAATAAAAAAGAGAGAGAGAGAGAAATGGAATAGCCAGGAGGAAGAGGATGATTTCCATGACAAAAAGATTTAAAGATTGACAGGTGACAACAGAACGGCCAGGTCCATATCAGGCTGTACTCACTAATAATCCTGACACCTGAGTATCGCAGAATCACAGAATGGTTGAGGTTGGAAGGGACCTCTAGAGCTCATCTAGTCCAACCCCCCTGCTCCAGTCGGGACACCTGGAGCATGTGGCACAGGGTGGCATCCAGGTGGGTTTGGAAGATC